ATTAATAGGTAAGCTAACCTTTTACATCACCAATCAAAACACTAAATTAATGATTTAAAATTATGTTTTAAATATTTAGAAGCTTCAGATTCTTTAGATTCGGCTTCAGAAAGTTCAGATTCGGCTTCAGAAACTTCAGATTTGGCTTCAGAAGCTTTAGATTTTTTAGATTCGATTTCAGAAGTAAACAGCCTGGTGAGTAAAAAAATATACATAATTTACTAATTAACCCAAAAATTAATTATTTAATAACTATTCAATTTTGATATAAAGTCATATAAAAAACTTATAATATTTAATATTAACTTTTTTTAATAATCACAAAAAGAATAAATCTCCTAAAAAAAAGAAAAATGTGCTATTGTTGAAGCAAATGAATCTAATATTCATGAAAAGAATGAAAGAAAAGAATTAAGTATGTGAATATATACATACTAAATATATATTTTTTTTTATATTAATTTTTTTTCAAACCATCAACTTATAAATTCACTATAATGCAATCAGGTTATATTAATTCATTAAAGAAAAAAAGAAGAGAAAAGAGAATGCCCGAAACTTTGGTGTCTCAAGACCCAACAAAAATATTTGAAATGTATTCTCAGCCTGTCAACAGATATTTTAATGAAGCCTCGATATCATCATTAGAACCAGAACTATTGCCAATGCTAATAGAAGATGTTAATAGTTGCGCTGCTTATCTTCGAATTTGGGATTCTTATTATGATTATTGTATAAGAGAAATCGGAAACTAGGATTACAAAATGTTAAAACTTATTTATTCATTATCTGAAGTTTTTTTTAACATGTTAAAGATTTGTCATCAAGAACAAGATAATGAAAAAGCATTAGAGAAAAATACAGGTTATTGAAAGGGAAGGGATATTAAATCGCGAATGAACAAACTCTGAAATATTAGTTCACGTTCAATGCTAAAAAAATGGATAGGATGTTGGAGACTATGCCATTTTCTTTGGGTGACGAATGTTACACCCAAAGAAATGGTTAACGTAAAGTTGGATGCAAATTTTTTTCTTTATGCTACAGAAGATGAATACAACTTTT